AACTAACGTGTTTATGCTAAAGTTCCGAAAGGCTTACATGTGCTTACAATCATTCAAACTAACGTGTTTATGCTAAAGTTCCGAAAGGCTTACAAGTGCTTACAATCATTCAAACTAACGTGTTTATGCTAAAGTTCCGAAAGGCTTACTCCCAGTCACTCTCGAGACTTAGCATCAAGAAAAGCTACGAGAAGGATAGGCTTAGAACACAGTCATTCTCGAGACTTAGTACCAAAAAGAACTACGAGACAAGCGTAAATGGTATTTAAATAAAACAATTAGGAAGTAGGAATGGGTGCACAAAAACGTAAGAAAACAAGGTAGGAATGGACGGGATAACATTACAACACTCCAGCTCGTTAGTATTTCAAAGTTAGATACGGTCATACCTTATCCTTTAAGGGTTACTGACCTAGCCATTTAGCTTATATTTATGTTACAAAAGTGCCGTTCAGGTTGACATTTTCAATTCCAATGGTCAATTGATTTGAGGTATTACTGATGGTGGCGCCAACCAGTTGTATAGGCTTCACTGCACCACCACCACTACAACATGCGTAAGCTCACCTGGTGCAAAGTAAATACTATCCAGAGTAATATCGTGTGTGCCAGTGAAAAAGGTTCTTGATTCTATGTTCCTCAGCTCGCTTGTTACACCGTCGTGACCGCTAGGGGCTGCCACACGCCAACGAAACTCTGTCAAATTGTCGTTGATACCTTCCGAGCTGCAGAGAGTACCTGTTCTATCAGAGTCTGGATGTTTAGGGTTACACGACTGAAGACAGAAAACATACACATATAAGTACAGATGCCCTAAATAACATAGTCACAAATAAGAATCTGGATGTTTAGGGTTACACGACTGAAGACAGAAAACATACACATATAAGTACAGATGCCCTAAATAACATAGTCACAAATAAGAATCTGGATGTTTAGGGTTACACGACTGAAGACAGAAAACATACACATATAAGTACAGATGCCCTAAATAACAGTGTCACAAATAAGAATATCTATATGTGTGTGTTTAGTGTTACTGGGTTAGACCCATGAATTGTACACAAGCATATATGTTTACGATTACATGCCAAGAAATAACTGGATTTATACCCACTCCACATTTATAGATTTCTATTCATTTATTTATTTAATCAAATGTTTGTGGTCACATGATTGTAAGAATCACGAATATGTATGTAAATGACTGCACAATTAGAGACTAGAAACGTTCCACGATTAGAGACAAGAAACGTTCCACGATTACAGACAAGAAACGTTACACAATTAGAGCTAGAAACGTTCCACGATTAGAGACAAGAAACGTTACACAATTAGAGACAAGAAACGTTACACGATTAGAGACTAGAAACGTTCCACGATTAGAGACAAGAAACGTTCCACGATTAGAGACAAGAAACGTTACACGATTAGAGACTAGAAACGTTCCACGATTAGAGACAAGAAACGTTACACAATTAGAGGCTAGAAGCATTAGACGATTACATACAAGAAGTATTACACCATTACAGACAAGAAACGTTCCACGATTAGAGACAAGAAACGTTACACAATTAGAGGCTAGAAGCATTAGACGATTACATACAAGAAGAATTACACCATTACAGACAAGAAACGTTACACGATTAGAGGCTAGAAACGTTACGCTATTAGAGGCTAGAAACGTTACACCATTAGACGCTAGAAACGGTACACGGTTAGAGGCTACAATCATTAGACGGTTAGAGACTAGAAACATTACCCCAGAGGTGTCGTTAGGTGCTTAAAATATTCAGGGCTCGGGCACATAGGCGCGGTAATTTTCGGCTCGGCGTTTCAGTTTGATATCGAATATGAATTTCTATTCTGATTTTCCACGACACTAACAGGGAATTCGAAGCACTGTCAAATAGAATAGGAGCACAGGACCTGTGTGCCAGCACCTAGCGACGCCTCTGCATTACACGATTAGAGACAAGAAGCATACTCATTACTCATGTGGTTTGGAAAAAAAAAGGTGCATACACGTATTAATGATTATCGGACTAAAGACAGACAACACACACACACGTGTTAATTGTTACATGATTAAAGACACGTTCTGAAAGTTATGTCATCAATTATGGCTAATGTTGAAACTCACCGTAATACACACTACTGGATACCCTGGGATAGGACTGGATGATGCACTGGCTGCATCATCGTAATCTTTCAGCGAAACGACCATTGGTTCGAATGGGAAGGTGACGTCAGCAACAATATTAACTTCTTGAATATAAATAATCACTTTGCTGTCCTGTTAATAATGGAAATATGTAGTTCTACATCACTAGTGTTAAAAACAGTAATTTAAGCCTCGTTGAAAATTAAACGCAGCATTATATACACTATTGCGCCTTGAAAGATCGAATAATGTATTATTAAAGTCTGGGGTGAAAGTAGGTGGCTAGGTGTTAAATGTTAAACAATTATAAAAAACGAAAATATCGTCTTAGCATTTAAAAGTCTTCTCTTCTGAATTAACATATTTTTAGTAACATCAGAAAAAGTTAAAAGGAAAGTAATAAATAATCATAAGTTTAAAAACTTTTACATATTTCTCAAACTGGACGTATGCAGCTACATAGGCCTAGACATTGATAAAAAGTCCTGACACTCACGTTCATACCTGGACTCAGATTTACCCTTACATCAGGAACCACATCCCTGTCTGAGCTGAAACTTACCCTTACATCAGGAACCACATCCCTGTCTGAGCTGAAACTTACCCTTACATCAGGAACCACATCGCTGTCTGAGCTGAAACTTACTCTTACATCAGGAACCACATCGCTGTCTGAGCTGAAACTTACTCTTACATCAGGAACCACATCGCTGTCTGAGCTGAAACTTACCCTTACATCAGGAACCACATCTCTGTCTGAGCTGAAACTTACTCTTACATCAGGAACCACATCTCTGTCTGAGCTGAAACTTACCCTTACATCAGGAACCACATCCCTGTCTGAGCTGAAACTTACCCTTACATCAGCAAACACATCTTCATCTATACTGAAACCTACCCATACATCAGCAACCACATCTCTGTCCGAGCTGAAACTTACCCATACATCAGCAACCACATCTCCATCTAGACTGAAACCTACCCATACATCAGCAACCACATCTCTGTCCGAGCTGAGACTTATCATACATCAGCAACCACATCTGCAACTGAACTGAGACCTTTAAATCTGCAATATATATATATATATATCTTAAGTGAAATCTACTTCTATATCAGTAACCACATCCCTATCTGGGCTGAGACTTACCTCTATATCAGTAACCACGTCCCTATCTGGGCTGAGACTTACCTCTATATCAGCAATCATATCTCTATCTGGACGGAGATGGAGAGTTAAAGCCTCACGATGCTCCTTCTCCTCATCGTACAGAATTTCGATTTCTACGATTATTCGGCTTACATTTTGTCCGAATTCCAGTTCTGCCAGAACATGATAAAATAAAAATTTATAAACTAATCAAACACGCTGTACTTAATGATTAAGACGAAAATCGAGATCGAAATGACATTTCATATATAACAGTGGTGCAACTTAAAAAAATTAATGCTGGGTGTAGTTGGAACTTCGAATGTGTTTGTTTAATTATGAAAAGTAGAAATGCTTGTTTCAACTTTCAGTTTCTCATACTCTGTTGTAATTTCTATTAATATAACTTACAATCTATACTTTCGATGGCTAGAAGTGGCCATTGCGAAATGATTTGTAGGCTTACCCCTGGAAAATGGAACGTAATCTTTTCCAGACTTGGCTGAACCATCTTTAGTGTGTACTCGCACGTGAGACGTTTTGCTTAGATCACCCCTTCGAATTACCGGTACTTCCACTACTGCAATGTCATCAGGATGCCGAGGTTCTTTTACATTATATCGATTTTTTTCGAATTTTATTACGGGTTCTGAAATAAATGGACGGGAGTCATGTTATTTTAAAGCAAAAAATATTACACGTGTAAAGTCCCAAGCTGACATGGGAATAACATAGCAGAAAATTATGTACAAAATCGGTCAAGACATTTGATTTGGGAATGACATGGCAGAAAAGTATGTACAAAATCAGTCAAGACACTTGATTTGGGAATGACATGGCAGAAAATTATGTACAAAATCGGTCAAGACATTTGACTTGGAAATAACATGGCAGAAAATTATGTACAAAATCAGTCAAGACATTTGATTTGGGAATGACATGGCAGAAAAGTATGTACAAAATCAGTCAAGACATTTGACTTGGGAATGACATGGCAGAAAATTATGTACAAAACCAGTCAAGACATTTCGCGTGATAACAGCCAAAATGTTATATTTGTAGCTTAACTTTTTAAAAATTACCCATCTTTGTATTATGTCAAAGTTATTTTAATACTCGCCAAATATTTTTTTCTGGTAACATAAACTTAAAGATATAATTCTCAGGCTGTTATTCTTAATATTCCAACCGCAGAAACTTCAGCAATGCTAGAAGATGAAAGATGCCCCTTGAGTAACATATTAGGTCGTCAAGAAATTAATGACGCTTATTTTTTAGATGAAAAAACCAGAACAACTTGTATAT